TGTATTAACTAGGGTTAAATGTCGATTATTTTGCAAATTTTAGGGTGGTCCTAAACTTTTGGCCAGGGAGTGTATATGGGTTCGTTTCGATTATCATCTGCCATTCTTCATTTGTGAAATTTGAATAGGGGCAACATTGGTCAAGCACCATTATTGATGAGAGCGCTCTAAAGTTACAATATTTAGATACGAGTATAATAATTGTGTTGCAAATCTCATCACTTACAAGATTTCGTATGTGTCGTGTCAGGTTAATCCGGTTGAATGAAGTTTTTCAAGAGCTTTTTGCTGATATTCATGGAATTTTTTTGTAACATTTATATTACACACTAACCACTGATTTTCAAATAACCGGCAATGAGAAATGAGTGGGATGGAATAATAAGAAATCAAAGTATTAGCCTCATACCTCGTTCTTTGACTCTTGTAGCATATTCTTAATAATTTCGTTCTTATCAAAAACATTACAAGACTGACAATGAGTTCATTTTCTTTTTGATGCCCTCTCTCCTTCTGCCTCTTCAATAACGACATTACTTCTTTTTGGCGGAACGTTTTCTTTTCTTGTGCCTTTTTTTCGGGATCCCTATGAACAGTGTGTGTGAGTAAAGATCTACCATAGGGAAGGCACATAGCCGATTTCTCCTCCAAAATCAGCAGACCCTAATCAAAAATCTCAATAGCAAGATGTGCCCGCCACAGCACTAATGTGACAGGGTCGCTCTTCTCTGTGTACGTAAACACAGAGCGTAGCACATCTTTGCTATTCTCGTCAATATCTCCACATTCCTGAAAACGTATAAAGATACTACCCTTTAATTGACTTTTTAAATCTGATAACTTTAGACCTTCTTTTGAATTTCGCTTCAAGTGTTTTTTCAGCACTTCTATCTCTTTTCCAAGAACACGACAGAATGATTCTTTCGACTCCTTTGGATGTTGTTCGGCGTAAAACTGCTCATAAGTATTTAAGTTCCACTCTGAGAGTGGCCTTTTCCAGTACTTAGCGTTATGAAGTTTATCTGTAACTTCTTCTGATAACATTAATATAAAGCTCGTAAAAAAATATTGTGAGAAAGAGTTTGGGAACGTGTTATATATATGAAAAGACGCGTAGATACGAACGTCATCACATAACTTTTCCAGATATCATATAAAATTTTCGTCGATCCGCTGGTTGGTGTGTGACCGTATGACATAATGCAATATAGGTCAAAAAAAGTAGCATGAGATGGTAAATTTTGTGTGTCACGAGTATCATTTTTTTCTTACTCCGTTAAAGAACCGAAGTATGCAGTTTGAAAGAAGCTTAGGGATGTTAAGGTCTGTGGCCAGACCGGTCTGACTCTGGTTTGATCATAGAACCAGTTTCAGTTCGATTTGAGGATCAAATCGAACTGAAACTGAACCGAATTGAACCGGTATTTAGACCAGTTTGGACGATCAATCTATATAAATGCTGTGTCACGTAAATTGTAAGACGCGTTGATCATTTTAACTAGAATAATTTTCGTTTTGCATTATTGTTTGTATTGTACAATGTC